ATACACAACTGTAGGCCAGACCAACAAGGGGGTGGCACAGCTATATACTACTCAGACCAACTAGAATGTATCACTAATACTTGCAAAAGGGGATGAACATGGGGAATATATAATATAAATTCAAATCCAAATACCTAAAAAAACCCTCTCACAGTGATAAACATCTACAGAGTTCCACAATAAAAACATTAGCCAATTTAGTCAAAACCTAGGAAATATGATAACTGATGTACGCATGAACAAAGATCACTTACTACTCTCAGGTGACTTCAATATAAATCTCCTGCAAGACCGGGACCCACACGTTACTGAATTCACAAACACAATGAGTAACTGCATTTGCTACCAACAGTAAAAAAACCCCTACAAGATTTTACGGAGACTAGTTTTTTCCCTACTTGACCACATCGGGAAACCAACAACCATACCCCCTTTAAAATCAGGCATAATTACAGAAAATACCACAGACCACTACCCTACTTTCCTCATAACAACTTTTGGTAAAATACCTCAAGACACTACTAAAGTCACCTTCAGACTTCACAATGAGGCAGCCATTAATAACTTCACAACAGCAGTAACAAACATTGACTGACACACTGAGCTAGAAATCTAAACAGATATTGACGAATGTTTTAATAATTTTCTAAAAAAGACCCAATACCTTTTATAACAAGCACTGCCCTAAAAAACTAAACAGATACGGGCTAAGAACTAAAACAGTCCCTGGCTAACACCCAGCATTCTCAAATCCATAAATACAAAACACCGATATGAAAAACAGTACAGAATGGGTCACATAACCAGAGACCGAACAAAACGTTACTCGTCAATCCTAACCAGCCTAAATAAGAAGGGCAAAAAAACTGTATTATGAGAACAGATTACCAACTTACGAGGTGATATAAAAAAGACTGGAAGACCCTATCAGAAATTCTGGGAACAAAAAAGATATCACGAAATAGCGAAATAAAATTAGCAAAATCAGATGACCCCCCAACTCCCACCAACAGAAACAGCAAACAGACTCAATGATTTCTTCTCCACTATGGGACAAAACTTCCCAATAAAATCCCAAGCTCAGATACCCCACCAATGACTACCTCACGGGCAACTACCCGAACACACTGTTCCTAGCTCCGACTTAACCCATACGAAGTCTCCCTTATTATCAACGCACTGAAAAACAAGGCAGGAGATTTAAATACCTTCCCAAACCCTTTATATACAAAAAAGCGTCACAAGTACTATCACCAATCATTGCAACACCTTTAAACAAATCCATTGAACCCCCACCTTCCCTACAGCCCCCAAAATAGCAAGGTCACCCCGATTCAAAAAGGGAGGAGACCAAACAGAGTTGAATAACTATAGGCCAATATCCAATTTACACCCTCTCTCAAAAATCTTCGAAAAATTAATTCATAAACAATCTACTCCTACCTCATCTCCCAAAACATTCTCAACCCCTGCCAATTTGGATTCAGGCCTAATAAAAAACTAATGATGCTATTATACACATGCTAGAACATATATACACTGCAATAGAGAAAAAAGAATTTCCCACTGGGGTCATCATTGACTTACGTAAAGCTTTTGATACAAAAGACCATGCTTTGCTCCACGTAAAATTTCACCTATGGTATTAGGGGCACTTCCCCCCAACTACCTCAAGTCATACCTTTCAGCAACAGAAGCCAATATGTTATGCAAATGGGGCAAACTCTTCCGCTCAACATTACGTTGGTGTCCCCCCAGGGAAGTTTCCTGTTCCCTCTTCTCTTCTCCTATACATAAATGACCTACCAAATGCTTCGAAATTTAAACTCAAACCCACACTTTTTGAAGATGACACTACATACGTCTTCTCTCACCCAAGCCCATCCCCGCTACCAATACTGTAAACACTGAATTACATAAAATATCTACCTGGATGAGACTAACAAATTTTTACACTAAACATTGGACAAAACCTACTCATTCAGTTTGGTAACAGAGCTAACAGATGTACCTCTTAACATAACGATAAACAATTTCCCCTATCAAAAGCTAACAAGGGAAAATTCTTTAGAACCACCTGAATAATAGACTCAAATTTCATACATAAAAACAACAAAATTTCTAAGAAAATTTCCGACTGTGGGCCCATACTATCGAAGATACGGACTATTTCCACAGTCAGCCCTCCTGGCCCTATATCACTCTCTTATTTACCCCTAATCTCACCTATGGAATTGTGAAATGGGCTCAACAACAATTAACCATCTCAACCACAAATTTAAACCCAACAAAAGGCTCAGTTAAGAATGATAACAATTCTCACAAGGGCAGCCCCACTCCAACCAAAAATCAAAACACTCAACCTACTCACCCATACAAAACTCCATACGTATTACTGCACCATTACATACATAGAACACTTAACTCTGTATTAACCCTCCCCTCAAACTCTCCTTCAACCTCAACAGAACACATGACCATAACACAAGGCACAGATCACTCTTTGGATGTTCTCGTGTCCATCTCACGCTATGCAAAACTCAATGCACATAAAAGGCCCTAAAATCTGGAATTCATTACCTGTAATATAAAAGAACACTACCTGTTTAAAAAAATTCAAGTCTCTTCTCAAAGACCCACTTACTCCCAAAACCAAATAAATACTGAATAACTGAACCTATAAATTGTATATCCATATTCCTCACAATTATATCACACAAATGTTAAACCTAGGACCCAATCTAACTTGGTTATTTTATAAATACACACCCTAACAGAATACTCCTTCACTGAATTAACAGCAATGCATGCAAACCAATGACCCTTCTTTGTAATACTCATTTTGCTTTAATTTATCTGTTTACAATAATGTTTTAAACTGGATTCATCATTGCTTAGTTAATCTAAAGTAATTTTAAACCAGCCCGTAACTATCATTTAACTGCTTTGGCATGCTGCTTTTCCCTGTTTTTTTTGTACCTCTGTATGTATCTTAATTACTAAATAAAATAAAATAAAAAAAATAAAAAATGTGCCGGTACTGTACATCATTATTATAATGAAGAAGCAATGAGTCTGAAGAAGAAAGTCAAGATGCTGTAACAGGGATTGAAAAACTTGACCAGGATGATTTTGGTAAATGTTATGAAGACATTATAGCCAGCATTCCCAGCAACAACACATCATAGATATCTACCTCGGGAGCCTTTTCCAAATCACAAAAAGCAGCATTCAAAAACAAATGTGCTGGTACCAGGTATTCTTTTTACCAAAGAAATAGAAATCTATGACATTATTACTTATAGAAGGAAGTCTAATAGAGTGGTTAAAAAACAAACATGAAAGTTCTTTCATCTCTGACAAACCTAGCCAGTAAATATCCGAGACCAACCCACTCTTCAACAGAGTGAAGATTATTTAACAGAAGTTAATTTGTTCCTCATAGGAACAAATTAACTTTTGAACGAGGGAAGATGCTGATGTTTTTGAACTTCAATTTGAGAATTTTTAATTATAGCTATCGGAGTAATATATGAATATTGTTTAATTTTAAGTATTAGAATAATGTATGCTTTTCTGTTTTTCAATGTGTTCCTTCAAAGTTTAAAAAAATTTAAAACGTATAATGAAAACATTTTGTGTCAGTTAATTCAGTTTGATAATGGAGAGAGAGAGGCTTGTTCTAGTTGTGAACTATAATTCTGGATTTTCAATTTGCAATTACAGTAATGTATATTATTCTTTTTGTAGTTTTGAAAATGTTTCTTAAAGCTTTAAATAAACAGCACTGTGATGGTTTTGGATGTTTTAGTTTTGTGTTTAACATAACTTGAAATTATTCAGACTTCTAGTTTGTAATTGACTGCTGATTATGTCTTCATCAGATTAGTAATTATACAGGTACATTCCATTTTTTTTAAATTTGTAAGCCTTACAGATAGTAATTAACACTGACAAAACCATCTCAGAGATATTAATTTATTTAATATTTAACCCTTCTAGGTTACTTAATACCTATTGAGCAGTAAGCAGTCCCTTATACAGGGGAACCTCAGTACACGACCAGCTCCTTACTCGAACAAAGCTCAGCACTTGACCAAACAAATACGACCTGCCAGGACTTTGCTGTAAACTATTTCATGTTTCTTTGCAGTTTTTGGTGTTATCTTGTATTATTTGTATAAATAAGTCACCATGGGGCATACGACGATTAGTGATAACAGTCAACCAAACAGAAATTTGGTTGGGAAGAATTTGTTCGATACTCAAACGGAGTTACACTCGAACAGTCTTCTGGAATGAATTAAGGCCGCATACCAAGGTTCCAATGTATAATGAACACAGTTACCATAATTTTAAAGATAAAATTATTGAAAAAACAACAGTATAGGCTTAAAATGAAGTGTTGGTATCAACAAAACATTTGGTATCATCCCATCCCTGCAAGAGCACTCAAGAGCACATTAAATACACAAAAGATACCAGAAAGCTGGAAAAGTGACCCCTAATACCAATATTCAAGAAAGAGAGCAAGTAAGAAACCCTAAAATACAGACCAGTAACTCAGAAACATATAGTGAAAAGTTTTGAAGACTGTAGAAAAACTGTTGATAGATTCTCTGGAGAATGGTCCAACAACACAGGCTCAGGAAAAGAAATGATGCCTCATTAACCTATTTGAGTTCTATGATAAGATGAGGGAAATTAGAAAGAAAATAGAAGGGTGGGTAGACAGCAAATTTATGCTGTCAGAAGTCCTAGAAATATCAGAGATGTAAAGTACTTCACTGAATAAAGAGCACCAGGAGACATCACAGGAGACATGAGTGGAGAGAAGAAAATTTCTTAAAAAGTGCTCTCATTTCCAAGTTATTCTTAATACTGTATGTGTGTGTAAAAGACCTGCCTGGGGAAGTAAATTCCACTATGTCACTGTTAGCAGGTGATGTAAAGCTTCAAGATAACAGAGACAAGCTGCCAAGAAATATATGTGGAAATACCTGTGCACCCATTCGAAGAGAATGCACTTTCATACTCCAAGCATTATCATTTGCCAGGAATTCTGCAACATCCTTGTACTTGTTTTCAATGTCTGCCATGGCTGCATTTAGTGCAGAGTTATTAAGATACTCATTCATGAGATTCTCAGTCACACCAAAGTCTTCTTCTGCTGACCATGTAGGAGAATCATCAACTTTGAGAGTAAAATTAACTTGAACAGCCCAAAGGTGTGGTACATCCACTTTCACACTACTTGCTTCATATCTGAAAAATATACTCTATTACAGTATGAAGAAAACTTAAAAATTAATTAAAAATAAATATTCACATAAAAATTACATTACAGTACAAACCTCAGAATTTTCTACATCCTTATTTGCTAAGTTCAAGTGGGTCACTGACTGACTGATTGATTGATTGATTCATTCATTCATTCACACACACATTCATTCATTCTCATTCTCTCTCTCTCTCTCTCTCTCTCTCTCTCTCTCTCTCTCTCTCTCTCTCTCTCTCTCACTCACTCAGTCTCACTCACTCAGTCTCACTCACTCAGTCTCATTCACTCAGTCTCATTCACTCACTCAGTCTCTCTCACTCACTCACTCACTCACTCACTCACCACTCAGTCTCACTCACTCACTCAGTCTCACTCACTCACTCAGTCCTCACTCACTCACTCAGTCTCACTCAACTCTCTCTCTCTCATTCACTCACTCAACTCTCTCTCTCTCTCTCATTCACTCACTCAACTCTCTCTCTCTCCCTCATTCACTCACTCAACTCTCTCTCTATCTCATTCACTCACTCAACCTCTCTTCTCTCTCATTCACTCACTCAAACTCTCCTCTCTTCTCTCATTCACTCACTCAACTCTCTCTCCCTCTCATTCACTCACTCAACTCTCTCTCATTTTACTCACTCAACTCCCAGGGGCTTTGGGCTCGACCCCTGCAACCTCAACTAGGTGAGTACAACTAGGTGAGCACGCACACGCACACACACATGCACAAGCACACGCACATGCACATGCACACGCACATACACACACACACACACACACACACCACACACACACACACACACACACACACACCCCACACACAACACACACACACCACACACACCACACACACACACTCACAATGCAAGACATCAGCAAAAATCAAAACATTTTCCCTACTTTGAGCTCCATTTTAAGGTTCTTTTCATAGTTAAACCAATCAAAATCACCTCTATTTCTATATTATGTTTTCCATTCTATCAAATGAGACCAAGAAAACAAGAATACAACTGTAAATATTATACAAAAATAGACCACTAATTCAGAATTTTAATTAAAAAAAATGGTTGGAGTTTTTTTTTCTCATTATGCACTGCATGCTGCAGGATTTTTTTTTATATGGTGCACACTGACCACACAGACCCATTCTCTCACATATGGGCCTACCAGCTTTCTCCTGCTTGATTTGAAGCCGCTAGAATTTATGAGTATATATACGTCAAAAACTGTGGCTCGTAACACATATATATACGACCAAAACAGTCAAAGGGTTAAGAAAAAGTTTGTAGAAAAATACGAAAGTGGTGGTGGTAGAGGGTGGTAGTGATGGTGGCAGAGGGTGGCAGTGATGGCGGTAGAGGGTGGTAGCAGTTATGATAGTGGTAGAGGGTGGTAGCAGTTGTGATAGTGGTAGAGGGTAGTAGTGATAGTGGTAGCAATTGTGATAATGGTAGAGGGTGGCAGTAGTTGTGATGGTGGTAGAGGATGCCTTCTTCAGTGATTCAGCAATTCTACTAACCCTTCCAATGTTGTTGGAGTTATATAGGGCTACAGAAAACACCGCCGCCTCAGCTGCTGCTTCACCACCATTATGGATGGGTTATGCTCTCAGAGGCCCTTATACACCCAACAACAACACAACACAGCACCTCTCGTGACATACATAATGACTTATTTTATTCATTCTATGCTATTAATATTGTTTATTATGTCATATTAGTTGAATTGTGATAGATAAATAAGCCATTGATATTAGTGTCATATTCTCCAACAATAAACTTGCCTCCCCTCCCTCTGCCCCGTCTGCCATACACCAACAAGAGTCTTCAATAAAGATAAGTGTGATGTTAAATGTTGATTTATACATTTTATTAGTGCTTTACATTTATTTGGCATTCTTTTCTGCATGTAAATCTATATTTAAGCTAGGGAAGTGGCCCCTGAAGTGACCTAGAGTCCTTATAGAGGGGGATTCCTCTTCCAAACAATAACCTCTCTTCCCTCTCTCCTCCTCCCTATCTTCCATTCATCAACAACAGCCTTCAATAAAGGTAACTGTCGTGTTGAATGTTCATTCTTTTGTGCATGTAAATCTATCTTTAAGGTAAAAAAACAATTTTTGTTCGATACTTCTGGGTGTCTGGAACAAAGTAATTGGACTTACATTATTTCTTATGGGGAAAATGGAATCGTAAATCATCAATTTCGATAATAGTCACACTCTCTAGAACGAATTAATTACGAAAAACGAGGGTCCACTGCATATTTTTCTCCTACCCTAAACAATGAAGCTAAAGGTAAACTCAACCAATGCCCCAGAAAATAGATCACAGCTTTGTGGCAGCACCTTCAGTTTACGAATGACAGATGTGGGTAGTAAACTGGACAGGTAGACACTTTACACCTGCTGTCTCTAACAGTAAGTGCTATTCAACTAATGTGGGTTGTATCCTGAGGCTTGGTTATATACCTTAGCCCTTTCAGGGTTTCCGACGTACTAGTATGGCTTATGCACCAGGGTTATTGGCGTACTAGTATGTGTAAATTCCAGCGCCTTCAAAATCTGGCGAGAGAAAGCTGGTAGGCCTACATATGAAAGAATGGGTCTATGTGGTCAGTGTGCACAGTATAAAAAAAAAAATCCTGCAACACACAGTGCATAATGAGAAAAAAAAACTTTGACCGTGTTTTTGATTTAAAACAGCGACTTTGCACTGTATTTTCGTATGCGATTTATGGTTATATTCTAGTTTTCCTGGTCTCATTTAATAGAATGGAAGACATATTACAGAAATTGAGATGATTTTGATTGGTTTCAAAATGAAAAGTACCTGGAAATTGAGCTCAAAGTAGCAGAAATGTTTGATTTTTGCCAAAGTTCAAAAGTAAACATATCATGCCACACGTCCAATACACTTCAACTGGCGAGTCTAATATTCTTTCACAAGTGTGCTGATATTACTTATACCATTTCTACACTAATGCAGTAGTTTGCATAACAGTAAATCTTCTATTTTTTGTGAGAATAAAAATTCAAAGTGGAAAGCAAAAGAAATGTAAGATGGGCCTGGGGACGTGACTAATGAAGAGAGGAAATGTTATTTTAGTTCCAGGAATATCTGTCTTGTTTATTCTGGACCCTATTTGGAAATTGGCATGTTTTGAAATTTGAGTGAAATTTGCAAAATTGCTAATTTCTGACCACTTTATTGGATAGTTGAAATCGGTAAATGGGTGGTTTCTTGTACTCATTCGATAGAAAAAGTGGAGTTCTAGCGAAATATCTATGATTTTTGTCGGCTAGTACACTGGAATTGGCCGAAAATAGGGGTCAAAGTGGGCAAAATCGCCGATGTGTAAACATTGTCGAGACCGCGAGAACATAATTCCATAAGTTTTCCACCAAATTTCATACTTTTGGTGTCATTATAATTGGAAAAAGCTTCTCTATCTTTTCATAAGAAAAAATCGTTTTTCTTTTCCGAAAAATTTTCGACCCTGAGAACAAGTTTAGGAGAGGGCCTCTCAACCCTGAAAGGGTTAGACAGGGTTGGACTTTGAAATGTGCGAAAAAAAAAAAAAAAAGTTTGTTTTTTCCAGCTGTATTGTTAAATTTCATCAGGGTATGAGGTGCAAATCCCAGTCTAGATGTTACATCTAATGTATAATCAGAGAGCAGCGTAGGTAATACATTTATCACCAAGGAAAATATACTGATTTTCTTGTCAATGACAAGTGACTAGAGTGAAAAACTAGCAAGACGATAAAGAAAATAGTATGTACTTTGCATATTTTGCATCAAAGGCCCATGTGGCTTATATAACCATTTAGAGCATGTTGAGCACTGTGGACGAAGACAAAGAAAATCGCAAGGGAATAAAAAACAATGATAAAAGAGTTTCTATTTGGGTCATATAGATAGACTAATATTCTTAACAAATAGCAGGTTTATCTGTAGTGAAGGACAACCAAACACTTTATTCTTGAGTTTAATAAAACTGGGAAACGAACTCAAAAATTTCATTTCATAGTTAGAACTAAAACAATCCAGCCATGGCTCTGGCTCTTGAAGTCAAGATAAGTGTTTTGAAGTTTAAGAGAAAGGTAAATTTCACATACAAAGACATACCTATGCCTGTAATACAGAATTTATACAAGTAAATATTTGAATTTGATTTTTTTTAAATTGAATTTAGTTTTTATCAAGCTGCAAATACTGTAATACTTTATTTATTAAAACCTTTTTAATGTACAAACTATATACGGCACTTTTCAAATGTAAATTGTAAATAATTAGCAAATTACAGAACTAAAATATATATTAAAAGCATTTCAAGTTGAAGATTTTGCCATCCAGGTTCACGAGGAAATAAAAAAAAACTAAGTGAAATAATTTATTTTATTTTTTTTTTCAGATAAATCTGGCATCAAAATATTCACATACACGGTAGGTGTTCTAGCATTTATGCTAATAAATTCTGCTTTACTCTGGCCTAGAAAAGTTCAACCAATGAATTACCTAGTTTATTTTCATTCCAAGCCATGCTTGCCTTCTTCAGATAATATAGTGTCCACTGTATTTAAATGATAAAATCATAAAGAAAACAGTTTAATGTTACCCATCAGCATGAGCTGTGACCAAATATTCTCCAGGTACGAGAAGCCTCCAGTAGTCACCATCAGCAGCAGACACAACATCATGATCAATACCTGCTACACTGATGCTTGCATTGCTGATAGGGTTGCCACTCTTATCAAAAATAAAGCCTTTAACTCCTGTGTGCACCTGTTAACAAAGAAATATAAAGTCCAATCAGATGTGCCTTGGCTTCAAAATCATATTTATGAATAGTATTTACCCTATCAAATAAATTTAATAACTATTTCCAGTCAATTTGAAACTTCTAAACATTATGTAGGAGACAAACTTACACCTGCATTGACAGGTTTCAATTACATTTTCACCATCATTCAACATTTTCACCATCATTCATACATAATCACTGTCTTTGCAGAGAGACTCAGATACAACAGTTCAGATGTCAATCCAAACAGCAAATATTCTAAACTCCTCCTTTGAAGTGCAGGAATTGAATTTCCCACCTCCAGGACTCAACTCTAGCTAACCGGTTTCCCTGAATCCCTTCAAAAATATTCCCTGCCACACCCAACAGCTTTCCGCCCAAAAAACTTTATCTCCTTCACTCCTACCAACACCTCAACATGCCGCTGTATTCAAGCCCTTGAACACAAAACCTCTTTTAAAAACCCCCCCCCCATCCTTTCCTAGGGTACCCCTACCACTCCTCCTCTCCACTACAATTTATAAACCCCCAGGTCATCCTATTTTGCTTCATCCTCTCTAAATGACCAAACCCCTTCAACAACCCCCCCAGGGAGGTAGTAGGTTGGGGAAAACAGCAACCCCAGGGAAAGGGAATTATCCTGCCACATGAGTGTGAAACAAAACCTTTTTCATGGGTAGATTGCAGGGTTATTTTTCTGTCTCATAAACTGCTGGATAACAGGTATATCTTTTCTACTTTTTATTACACTTGGGCCACAAAAAAGATATGCCATACATAATATACATACACACATCAAGGTTTTCTTTTTTTCTTTAAAAGTTCTTTTTTTTCTTTTTTTCCCTTATTCTCCAGGGGGAATGGAAAAGAAATTTTTTTCCCCCAAGCCTGCATGTCATAGGAGGCAACTAAAATGCCAGGAGCAATGGGTTAGTAATCCCTTCTCCTGTATAAACCACTAAAAATGAGAAAAGGAAAAACTTTATAAAACTGGGATGTCTGAATGTGTGTGGATGTTATGCAGATGATGAGAAAGAAATGATTGCTAATGTTATGAATGAAAAGAAGTTGGGAATGAAAAGAAGTTGGATGTCCAAACTCTAAGTGAAACAAAGCTGAAGGGGATGGGGGAGTTTCAGTGGGGAGAAATAAATAGGATTAAGCCACGAGTATCTGAGAGAGTTAGAGCTAAGGAAGGATCAGTTATGGAAAGGAAAGAAAGAATATAAATATATAAATTCAAGGAGTATGTGGATTAAAATAAGGGTCAGATGCGAAAAGTAGGTCATAATAAGTGTGTATGCACCTGGAGAAGAGAAGAGTGTAGAGGAGAGACAAAGATTTTGGGAGATGTTAAGTGAGTATGTAGGAACTTTTGAACCAAGTGAGAGAGTAATTGTGGTAGGGGACCTAAATGCTAAAGTAGGAGAAATGTTTAGAGAGGGTGTGATAGGTAAGTTTGGGGCACCAGGTGTAAATGATTGAACTTTGTATAGAAAGGGGTTTGGTTATAGGTAATACATATTTAAAGAAAAAGAGGATAAGTATACAAGATATGATATAAGGCATAATGACAGTAGTTTGTTGGACTATGTATTGGTAGATAAAAGACTGTTAGGTAGACTTCAGGATGTATATGTTTATAGAGAGGGCCACAGATATATCAGATCACTTTTTAGTTGTAGCTACAGTGAGAGCAAAAAGTAGATGGGATATAAGGAAAATGGATAAAAGACTGTTAGGTAGACTTCAGGATGTATATGTTTATAGAGAAGGCCACAGATATATCAGATCACTTTTTAGTTGTAGCTACAGTGAGAGCAAAAAGTAGATGGGATATAAGGAAAATGGAAACAGCAAATAAGCGAGAGGTGAAGGTTATAAACTAGAGGCGGCGGCAGTTAAGGTAAGATATTAACAATTATTGGAGTTAGGTAAGGTTCATAAAAGAAGGATATTAAAAGTGAATACAGGAAAGAGTAAGGTGATGACGATAACAAAAGTAAGTAACGAAAGATTGGAGGGAGAGCGTATGGAGGAGGTGAATGTTTTCAGATACAGTGGTACCTTGATTTACGAGTTTAATTTGGTCCGTGAACCAGCTTGTAACTCAATTTGCTCATATATCAAATCAATTTTCCTCACTGAAATTAAATGAAATGCCATTAATCCATTCCAGCAGAATTCCTGGCTCTTTGGAGGCAGGAGAAAATATTTCAATATAACACTAAGAAGAGCAGATTATATGGAGAGTAAAAGAAAGGTGAAGAGAGTGGTGAGAGAGTGCAAAAGGAGAGCAGATGATAGAGTGGGAGAGGCACTGTCAAGAAATTTTAATGAAAATAAGAAAAAATTTTGGAGCGAGTTAAACAAGTATACCTGGTAAAGTGTATGGTAGAATTATTATTGAAAGAATTAAGAGTAAGACGGAGAATAGGATAGCAGATGAACAAGGAGGCTTTAGCAAAGGTAGGGGTGTGTGGACCAGGTGTTTACAGTGAAACATATAAGTGAACAGTATTTAGATAAGCTAAAGAGGTCTTTGTGGCATTTATGGATTTGGAAAAGGCGTATGACAGGGTGATAGGGGGGCAATGTGGCAGATGTTGCAAGTGTATGGTGTAGGAGGTAGGTTACTGAAAGCAGTGAAGAGTTTTTTACGAGGATAGTGAGGCTCAAGTTAGAGTATGTAGGAAAGAGGGAAATTATTTCCCAGTAAAAGTAGGCCTTAGACAAGGATGTGTGATGTCACCGTGGTTGTTTAATATTTTATAGATGGGGTTGTAAGAGAAGTAAATGCGAGGGTCTTGACAAGAGGCGTGAGTTAAAAGATAAAGAATCACACACAAAGTGGGAGTTGTCACAGCTGCTCTTTGCTGATGACACTGTGCTCTTGGGAGATTCTGAAGAGAAGTTGCAGAGATTGGTGGATGAATTTGGTAGGGTGTGCAAAAGAAGAAAATTAAAGGTGAATACAGGAAAGAGTAAGGTTAAGAGGATAACAAAAAGATTAGGTGATGAAAGATTGAATATCAGATTGGAGGGAGAGAGTATGGAGGAGGTGAATGTATTCAGATATTGGGAGTGGACGTGTCAGCGATGGGTCTATGAAAGATGAGGTGAATCATAGAATTGATGAGGGAAAAAGAGTGAGTGGTGCACTTAGGAGTCTGTGGAGACAAAGAACTTTGTCCTTGGAGGCAAAGAGGGAATGTATGAGAGTATAGTTTTAACCAATGCTCTTATATGGGTGTGAAGCATGGGTGATGAATGTTGCAGCGAGGAGAAGGCTGGAGGCAGTGGAGATGTCATGTCTGAGGGCAATGTGTGGTGTGAATATAATGCAGAGAATTCGTAGTTTGGAAGTTAGGAGGAGGTGCGGGATTACCAAAACTGTTGTCCAGAGGCTGAGGAAGGGTTGTTTGAGGTGGTTCGGACATGTGGAGAGAATGGAGCGAAACAGAATAACTTCAAGAGTGTATCAGTCTGTAGTGGAAGGAAGGCGGGGTAGGGTCGGCCTAGGAAAGGTTGGAGGGAGGGGGTAAAAGGGAGGTTTTGTGTGCAAGGGCTTGGACTTCCAGCAGCATGCGTGAGCGTGTTTTTATAGTGAAGGGGACAAATGTTTTTAATACAGAGGCTTTGGGGTGGAGCAAAAACATTTTTGAAGGGTTCAGGGAAACCGGCAGGCCGGGCTTGATCCTAGATGGGAAGTACAGTGCCCTGAAAGGGGGGAAATTTTTTTTTTAATTTTTAGAGGGTTTAAAAAAAACAGGGTCTTAAATGGGTTTTTAAAAAAAAAAAACCCCCCCTGGATTTAAAATGTTTTTATAAAAACCCTTTTAGTTCAAGAGAATTCAAATTTGGTGGGGTTTTGGGGGGGGCAAAAGAAAAAAATAAAAATAAAAAAGGTTAAAGGTCAAAAAAAAAAAAAAAATTAAATTCCCCTTTAAGGAAAGAATAATTAAAGGGTTTTTTATATTTAATGGGTCCCCATAAAATATAATAAAATTTAAAAAAAAAAGGGGGACTTTTAATTGTGGGACAAAACTTTTTCCTTGGAGGAAAAAATTTTTAATATATTTTTTTCCCCCTTTTTTTTATGGGTTGAAAGGGAAAAATTTTTGGGGGGAAAAGGGGGATAAATCTTTTTGGGGGTGGGGTTTTAATTAAACAGGAACCCTTTTAGTTGGGGGTCGGAACCAAAAATTTTTCCGGGGAAAGGGTTGGGGGGTTTTTTAAAAAAAAAAAACAAATAATTCCCGATTAACCTTTTAAAAAAAAAATTCCCTAAAAATTGGGGGGGGAAAAATTTTTTTCAAGGGGTTACATCCCAATCTGGCCTTTTTAAAAGGGAAAAAAAAATTTTTTAAAAGAGGTGTTTGGAAGCAAACATTATGAATTAAAGGGGAAACCGGACCCTTGATTGGAATGGGAATTGCCTTCCCCAAAGGTTTAAATTTCATTAAAAATTTTGCCCCCTTCCCAAGACATAAAATAAAATTTTGTTTTTCTTTTTCCCCCCCTCCCCCTTAAACCCCTTGGAAAAAAAAAAAAATTTCGTTAAAAAACCAGGGCAAAGGGCAAAAAAAAAAGGGGATTGTAGAAAAATTTTTAAACAAAAATTTTTAGAAAAAAAATTTGAAAAAGGGAGGCAGGGAATTTATGCAGGAAAGAGTCCTTTTTAGAATGAAGAAGGGAATGTAAGTTGGGGAAATCTAGGAAACAAATGAAAAGGGGAGGAGATAGGGGGGAAAAAAAGGTTAAAGCCAAAAGGGGGAAAGTAGGGGGGGGACTTTTTTAAAAAAGAAAGAGGAATTTTTAGGGATTGGGGAAAAAAAGGTCCCTAAAAAAAGGAAAAAAGGTTGTAATTAGAGGGAAAAATAAAAACTAATAGGGAAAAGTGGAAGTAGGCTTTTAACAATTTAAAGAATTTAGGGTAAAAAAGTAGGAATGGAGGAGTTGAATGGGTTTGGGAGGGGAT